AAAAAAAAAAAAAAAAAAGGAAATGCTTCAGGCAGAAGGAAATGATACCAGATGGGAACACAGGTCTGAACAAAGGAATGAAGAGAACCAGAAATGGTAACTCTGGATAACCACATAACATCTTTTTCTTATTATTTAAATCTCTTTAAAAGATAATTACTGTTTAAAGAAAATATTAACAACATAGTGTGAGGTTTGTAACATATGTAGAAGTAAACTATATGGCAATAATAGTATAAAGATGGGAGGGGAGAAATGGAAGCACACTTTTGTAAAGTTCTCACATTCTCTGTGGTGGTATAGTAATATCACATGAAAGCAGACTGTGATAAGCTAATTATAAACCCTAAAGCAACCACTAAAATAACAAAACAAAGAATTATAGCTAATAAGCCAGGAAAGATAATATGAAATCATAGAAAATAATCCAAAAGAGTGCAGAAAAAGAGAAAAAGGGAAGATAAAAGAGGTGGACGACAAATAGAAAACAAACAGCAAGATGTCAGCTTTAAACCTAACCTGATATAGCAACAATCATATTGAATGTAAATGGTCTAAATACCCCGATTAAAGGACAGAGATTGTCAAAGTGTATTAAAAAGCAAGCCCCAAGTATATGCTGCCTACAAAAGATACATTTTAAATATAAAGACACAAATAAGTTAAAAGCAGAAGGATGGAAAAAGACATATCTGCTAACACTAATCAAAAGAAAACTGGAATATTATGAAATGCTTTTCTTTACCCCTGGTAATGATAAAAGGCTCAGTTCATGAAGGGATGTAACAATCCTAAACAGTTACATACCTATTAACAGAGCTTAAAAATACACAAAGCAAAAAGTTACTGAACTGCAAGAGAAATAGATATAATTATAGTTGAAAATGTCAATACCCCTCTCTCAATAATTGATAAATCAAGTAGACAGAAAATCAGTAAGAATAAAGAAGACTAAAATGCTATCAACCAACTTGACCCAAATGACATTTACAGAACACTCCACCCAAAAACAACAGCATATAGGTGCTTTTCAAGTGCACACGGAACTTCACCGAAATAGACCATACTCTAGGCCATAAAAAAATCTCAATAAATTTAATAGGAGTTAGAGAAGCATAAATAAAATTAAAATAGAAATTAATATCAGAAAGATATCTGGAAACCCCCAAATATTTAGAAACTAAACATACTTCTAAATAGTTCATCGATAGGCTATTAAGTAGCCCATCTCAAGAAATCAAAGGGAAATTGGAAAGCATTTTGAACTGAATGAAAATAAAAACATAATGTATCAAAATCTGTAGGATGCAGCTAAAGCAGTACTTACGGGGAAATTTATATAGCAGAAACACCTATATCAGAAAGCAAGAAAGGTCTCAAATCAATGACCTCAGCTTCTACCTTAAGAAACTAGAAAAAAGAAGAGCAAGTTAAATTCAAAATAAACAGAAACCAATGAAATAGAAAAGAGAAAAACAATAGAGAAAAATCAATGAAAAAAAGCTCCTTGTTTATTGAAAAGACCAATAAAATGGATAAACCTCTAGCCAAACTGATCAAGAAAAAAAGAAGACATAAATTACCAGTATCAGGAAAGAGAGAGATAACATCACTACAGATCTTAAAGGGATAGGGAAATATTATAATTAATTTTATGCCAATAAATTCAACTTACAGGAAATGAACAAATTCCTTGAAAGATAAAACTACCAAAGCTCATTCAAGAAATGGAAAATCTGAATTTCTCTATATCTATTAAAAAAATCAAAGTTGTTATTAAAAATCTTTCCACATCAATAACTCAAGGCCTAGAGGGCTTCACTGCTGAATTCTACAAACATTTAAGGAAGGTATAATATCAATTCTATACAAACTAAAAAAAAAAAAAATTAAATACTTCCCAACTCATTCTATAAGGTCAGTATTATCCTGAGACCAAAACCAGACAGACTTACAAGAAAAGAAAAATACAGACCAATATCCCTCATGGAAATTGATGTAAAAATTTTAAACAAAATTTTAGTAAACTGAATCTAACAATACATAAAAAAGATACTACATCAGAAGCAAGTAAGGTTTATCCCAGGGAGGCAAGGTTGGTTTAACATTTGAAAAATCAATGTAATGACGACATACCAAACTAAAAAACCAAAACCATACAATCATCTCAATAGATGTAGAAGCAGCATTTGAGAAAATCCAACATCTACTCCCAATTCTTGGCTAAGTTCCACAAATATATTTTGTAAAGGCACTGCTCCCCTCTTGCAATCTGGCTTCTATTTCACTATTCCACTAAATCTGCCTTTGCTATATTCACCAGGGTCTATTTCTGAAACATAATATAGCTTATGTTGATGAGTCTTAGGTCATTAAGAGTATAGACTCTGGAGACAGACTACTTGGATTTAAATCCCAGCTCTACTCCTTACTAGGTATGTGACCTTGAACAGTTTTAACTTCTCCATGCCTCATTTTTCCTACCTACAAAATGGGAATAATAATAGGATTTCCCCTATAGGATATTGTGAGGATTAAATGAGTTAATATATAATGTAAAGGACTTAAAACAGTGCCTGTCATACAGTAAGAACTATGTAAGTGTTAGCTATTATTATTACCTTTGGAAAATACCTAGTCCTTAATCTCTAGTCATTCTCTGATGATCACTCTGTCCACGCTGAGAAGAATTTCAGCCTGTTAAACTGAATCTCTGAGAGAGCAGTATAGGGTGGTGAAGTCATGGCAGAGTGTGGTGTTTGAATCCTCACTCCATTATTTACTGGCTACATGACCTTCTTAACATGTTACTTAACCTCTTTGGACCTCTTTTCTTATCTTTATTTTATTTATTTTTTTTTTTAAAGATTTTATTTATTTATTTTTCCCCCAAAGCCCCAGTACATAGTTGTCTGTCATAGCTGCACATCCTTCTAGTTGCTGTATGTGGGATGCGGCCTCAGCATGGCTGGAGGAGTGGTGCCTCGGTGCGCACCCGGGATCCGAACCCCGGCCGTCGGCAGCGGAGAGCACGCACTTAACCGCTAAGCCACGGGGCCGGCCCCTCTTTTCTTATCTTTAAAAGGGTGATAATACCTTACTTCATTAGACTGCCATGAGGATTGAATAACAGAAATCCCTTTTCTCTCCTCAAGCTCCTATCAAGGCCAGACTTGTTTTACCAGAATGCTTTTCTATGGGACTGGTCCCAGGCCCAGCTTCTCCAAAGACCAATAGCAAATGTTGGTCCCAGGGGAGGTCAGTTTTGAAAGGTCAATCTTATACTCACCCAGTACTTCCAGGGTGTCATCCTCCCAGAGGCCAGAGTTACTTCTCGGGGGCAGGAGGGCAGCCTTTTAGGGACCCACACAAACACCCAGGATTCTGATGGGAAGGGCCTAGGCTCTCTCTAATGAGCTTATGACTGATCTTTTCTTTTCTTCTATCCATTAATTGGTAATATTTCTGAAGGTCAGCCCTGGAATTTCTAATCTTCTCTATCTGGGAGTTAATTACTATCTATAAAGATAATGACTGAGGGCCGGCCCCGTGGCTTAGAAGTTAAGTGCACGCGCTCCGCTACTGGCGGCCCAGGTTCGGATCCCGGGTGTGCACCGACCCACCGCTTCTCCGGCCATGCTGAGGCCGCGTCCCACATACAGCAACTAGAAGGATGTGCAACTATGACACACAACTATCTACTGGGGCTTTGGGGAAAAAAAGGAGGAGGACTGGCAATAGATGTTAGCTCAGAGCTGGTCTTCCTCAGCAAAAAAGAGGAGGATTAGCACAGATGTTAGGTCAGGGCTGATATTCCTCACACACACACAAAAAAAAGATAATGACTGAAAAAAAATCTGTATCTTCCCCCCTAAAATTTCATGAGAACTTTCTTATTAAAATGTGAACGTTCACACTTTATATATGCTCTCCACATTTAAGCACATCCATCTCTTGGTGTACAGTGTGGCTCCATATGAATTTTTTCCCCTCAAACAGCTGATCATCTATCAGTATTTCTGGGTCCATCTCCAGGCTTTTGAATCTGTGTCCCTGACCCATATTTCTATTTTCAGACTGGTTCCCCCAAACTAGAGGACTGTTTATGGTTCCCTTTCTCTATCATCAGTAGCCACATCTATCCTGCACTTCTCAAGTTCATTTATTCCAGAATCATCTTTATGATTATCTTAAATTTATCTTCTTTGTCCCCATGTATGGTCTAGCACGAAGTGACTGCATTTGGGTAGACTTTAGATAGATAAGTTTCTCTTCTCCTGGCTGCTCTAACCCAAACCTTAATCATTTTACAGCAGGACAACAATAACCTCCTTGCTGGCCTCTCCCCTCAGACCTACTCCACTTGTAGCAAAAGAACTTTCTTACTCAGATGTTATTCTGAACATAGCAGTAATTTTTAATTCTACTTAAACCAAATGGTTTAAGACTTGAAGACACTTCCCTACTGACCCCCATCTGGTGGCCTTCATTTTTCAACACTCTGGATCCAGCTCGCCAAATACATGTTCTCTCATCACTGTATAATCCCCAGTCTCAGGTACTGACTCCAGAGCCCACATGCTCTTAACCATTACATGATCCAGTACTTAAGAACGTGAACTCTAGGGTCCTAGGTTAGAAAGCTCCATTTCTTACTAGCTGTGAACTTCTCTATGCCTCAAGCTTTATGTGGAAAGCAAGACAATAACAGTACCAACAACAGTACCAATTAGCCTTATAGGTTGTTGCAAGGATTAAATGAGATAATCTATGTAAAGCATTAAAGACACTCTCAGGCACAAAGTAAGCACTCGGAAAGCATTAGCTACTACTCCTCTCCTATTACTACTATATTGCCTCGTAACAAGAGGCCTAGGGTCAGGCACATAGTAGGTGGTCCACAAATTGTATCATAGTAGGTGGTCCATAAATTGTATCAAGGAACAGACATTCATTCTTGCTCCTAAAATTATTGAAACACTAGTGAAAGGCACAGGTTTTAATCTGGGAATTTGACCTACCTTTAAATCTGAGTTGGCTGCAAGTTTCTGTCCAATCAAAGCTGCGTTTCCTCCTACATAGTGCTGTAAAACAGTTCAAGGTCATCAGACAGTGTTTTAGCATAACTATGTTACCCAAGCTTAATAATGTTTTAATTTATTGAACTAATTTATAGTCCATTTTTTTCCAAGAAAAATTTGAGATGACTTTACAACAAGGACAGACAGATAAGGTTAATAAAAACATTAACCCCATACAGTGAGGACAGTGAGTTATAAGGAAAGGCGAAGAAAACAAATACACTAACATGAAAATTAGTATAATTGCGTTAACCGTAGATCAAATTTGGCCTTGAGCTTCCAGGCAGCCAGAGCAGATAAAAGAAACATGAGAAGTGTGGATAGATCTTATCTTCTACACGTAATCCTTCTAAAATGAGTATATGATTATTTCACTCTCCTCCTGAAAATCACTGAATAGGTATATAACTGAAGTCCAACTCTTAAGTGAGGCATGCAGGCCTTTCTTCATCTGCCCTCTGCTTTCCTTTCTACCTTCACCTCCTGCTCTTCCCTTCCACGCCATGCCTGCAGCTCTCCAAGTCGGCCTCCCTCTCTGTCTCTGTGCCTTCAGCACACCGTTTCCTTTGATTCGGACGCCTGCCCCTTCTCATACATTGGCAAATCCCTGATCACTTCTCAAGAATCAGCTGCAGCGTCACCTCTTCTGCAGTGCCTTCTGTTCCTCTTTCCCTACTGCCCCTCAGCCTCCACAACCCCCTCCCAGACAGGATTATGGATCCCTCGCTACTCCTATACTCTGAACAAACTTCTACTGCAGGCCTTGTCCACTTAGGCTATTATCATCTGAGTACAAGTCTAGCTCCTTCAGGGCAGGGACGATCCTCTTCTATCAGTAATCGCTCAGTAAATGTCTGTTGCTAAATTTTGAGAAAGGAAGAAACACACTGATGCAGTAGGAAATATAAAGGCTTCCCTGGGAGTAAATTCTAAAAGTAATGGGCAATGTTCTCTCCTAAACACCACATCTCTCAGCCTACGACCTATAGCAGGAGGCAGGTAATTCAAGGCTAGTATACCTTGTTGCTGATTAAGAACGGATTCACATGCCTTGGAAACCTGAGAAGTAGGACATAAGGTTGATGTCGTTATGAACGTTGAGAATCCTCATCAATAGTCTTGCCTGGGTGGAATGCTACCACCTCACCTTCCTAGTCCTCAGCCCCACGCAGAGGCACAGACTAATCAATCTAATTCAATTCTAGATGCCAGATATCACTTTCATCCCAAGGTTTGTGTCAACCAATCACAGGATTCAGGTGGGACAGTAACAGCCACCTATAGATAAATTTAAAACTTTCTTTGATACATAGGCTGAAATTTGGCCTTTTAACACGTTAGCCTTAATTTTTTATTTAACTATGATGGCTAGAATTTACTAAAAATCTTGGGGGAAGTATTAAGAGTCTATGAAGTGGATGTTAGAGTTTTCCTGTAATAGTTATTAACTGCTGTTTATCAGTCAATCTGCCTTATAGGTTTTTTTTTTTTTTGTGAGGAAGATCAGCCCTGAGCTAACATCCATGCTAATCCTCCTCCTTTTGCTGAGGAAGACCAGCTCTGAGCTAACATCCATTGCCAATCCTCCTCCATTTTTTTCCCCAAAGCCCCAGTAGATAGTTGTACGTCATAGTTGCACATCCTTCTAGTTGCTGTATGTGGGACGTGGCCTCAGCATGGCCGGAGAAGTGGTGCGTCGGTGCACGCCCGGGATCCGAACCCTGGCCGCCAGTAGTGGAGCGCGTGCACTTAACTGCTAAGCCACGGGGCTTATAGTTTAAGAGAGTTTGAAAAGGCACGAAATGAAGTGTTACTCTAGTGTAAGAAAAATAACACATTTTAGGTTTTATAATGTTAAGAAATGATTTGGATGATCTAAAAGCTAGATAAAATTTCTGTAGAAATTTTTTTGCATTATGAAACAAAAGGCAGGATCAAGGCAGAAGAGAATACAATAAAAATCAAATTGGTGGTTTAACTACCATGATCACAAAGACTTTTAAGCAGTAGACTTGTCATCACGTTAGAACTAAGATTCCTTCATAAGAGATCAGAATCTTACCGAGCTCAGCTGTCAAAATGACTAACTGAAATTTTAACAGCTTGCTCTTTCCTTTAGAAACTCAGCTGGGTAATGCCTGTGCCCATTTCTAATGTTCAAATGGGCAGCTTCAAAGGGAAAAAAAACTTTAAAATCTTAAAAGTTATCAAAATAAAAATGATCATAAAGAATGGCCTGTGAAAGGTACCAATTAAAAGTGGCATTAAAAGCTTCCCTAGTGAGAACCACACCCAGAATTTGATGACTAGCCAAAGGAAGACTTTACGTGAGTAAAAAGAACTGGTGGTGGGATGGGGTGAGGCGGAGAGATGCTTAAACAAACCACCAAAACTTGCCTCAGGAGATGGGAGGGCACGGGGAGCAGGGGGTGTGCTGGGCTGAGGGCTCCAGAGTCCTCAGAGAGTCACAGTTGGGTCTCCAGCCCCAGCACTGCCTGTCACTCCATTGAGCCTTGAGGAAGTGTTGACCATGCAGGCCCCAGGGCTTTGTTTATGATCACCAGGTGGGCCTAAGTTCTAAGTCTGACAGGGTCTACCCTGTTGACCAGTGGTTCTCAAAACAAAGTGCTCAGAACAACAGCATCAGTATAACCAGGAAATTTGCTGGAAGGGTAAATTCTTGGGTCCCATCCCACATACACTGAACCAGAAACTGGGAGCAGGGCCCAGGAATCTGTGTTTCAATAACCCCTCCGTGAATCTGATGCGAGCGGGTCTGAGAACCACCAATCTAGACCAGCAGTTCTCAGGCAGGAGTGACTTTGGTTCCCTCCTCTCCCATACTCTAGAAACATCTGGCCATGTCTGGAGACATTTTCAACTGTCACAACTAGAGAAGAGGGGGAGTGCTACTGTCATCTAGTAGGTAGAGGCCAGAGATGCTACCAAACATCTTACAGTGTGCAGGACAGCCCCCACGACAGAGAATTATCTAGTTCAAAACGTCAGTAGTGCTGGGGTTGAGAAGCCTTGCTCTGGACTTGCAGAGCAGAGGTGAGGACTCAGTTCCCCCTTTCCCAGGCAAAGGCTAAAACTAGTTCTCTGTGGGTTTGGCCTTGTTCTCCTGCTGAGGAGGGACTCAGCCATATTAAGACTACTGCCAGTTATCAGCCACAAGCAATACCCCAACAAGTTAGGAGTAGATACCTTTCCTACCTTAAACTTGGGTAACATGAAAAAGAACGAGTTAGTGGATGAACCAGAACCAAAATTTTAGTAATTACACTTCATAATTGTTGGCTGAATTGAACTGAGTAGAAATAGCAGAGTTAATGGAAATCAGACACACAGTTTTACAAAAAAAAGAAAACACTGCAGGACTGGATTCCCAACAATCATCCTCTGGCAGCCAACTGGAGGAAAAAGTTGCTTGGTTGCTTCTAGGAACCATACAAAAAGGTATCTTTTCTCACTCTATCTTAAGTTTACTACTGGTGAACCAAACAGACCTGGGCTCCTGGGAACTCTGACGCAATCCGGGCAATGTCATGGAAAGTTTCCTTATCGCTGAAGAAGCGCTCAGCAGCTGCTCCCTTCCCCATGAAGTGAACGAAGGTTTCTTTTAGATCATTCCTTGAATGCAGAACGCTGTGATCTTTCCCATTCTCAGGATTCAGGCCAAGTGCCTGCAAGAGCTTCACCCCTGAGAGCACTACATCCACACATGCATTGACTCTGGAAGGAAGGAGGGGAGAGACACTATGAAAGAAAGCAGAAGCACGGGGGCAGCTACTCTGCATTTAACAGGGAAATGTTCCGAGAACTGTATTCCAAAAGAAAAATAGATGAAGCGGAACTGAAACCCGACCTAGAAATGAAACAGCATATGGCAGAAGGAAGATTACTTTATCTGGATGTATGTCTTAGGATCAGAACACAGGACTCTTCAATAGTGTGGCAAACTTTTACATTAGTTACAAAGAGAGAGGACAAGTGCTCAGCATTTCAGAACAAAGCTATCATGAAAACATAAATATAGCATTTCTGAGAAAATGCTGGCCGAGCCAAATAGTCTGGATTCACACTGGCTCTGTGACTTGGGTGAATCACTTTAATTTCTCTGTGTCTCAGTTTCCTCATCTGTAAAATGGTATATAATAAGAGTATTTAACTTATAAAGCTGTTGTGAAGAGTAAATAAGTTAATATATGCTTAGGAGCACTGTTTGGTGCAGAGTAAGCAAAATATAAATTTTGGTCAAAAGCCAAACATCAGATACCTTCCCTCGAAAGACATATTAAGATGGTGGTAAGATACACTAAACAGTTAAATGTCTAAACACTCCCAGTTGAAACTCTTCGAGTTGAGTAGTGCCTTAAAGACTTAGGTACACCTGCAGCCTTGTAACAGCTCATCACTTGGCAGGTGTTCACTGGACTGATCCAGGAACTTTAAAGGGCTGTAAGAAGCCAGTGCTGCATCTCCTGGTTGGCTCTTCTACTGAAATTATGAAGTTTTAAGGTTATCTGGCATGGCCTCTCCTATGTGTGCATGGAAAAGTTCCGGCTTATATTTTCAGTGTTTTTTCGCTAAAAATCATCCCTTAAAAGAGAAAGGCCAAATAATTTGGGTAGCTAGATGAAGTCTTTCTGACCCCCAAGGTCATCTTTATTCTCGCCTCTGCCTATTGGGGATGTCATTCTTGCCAGTGGGGCTGGATGACCACGTAAGCAGCTCCCAGCCTCTGAGAAGAGCAGGGCTCACAGCAGGCCAACCGAGACAGCTCCTGGTGGTAAGGGTGGCTGGGCTCCCAGGTTAATTCCGAGCAGCTTTGAAACCAGAGGGAAAATTATTAACAGAGAAGGCCCAATGGTTTGAATTTTAGTGTAAAATACATACCTACAATGCTTCCCTTCTAGTCTCCTTTAAAAATCTTTTTTTTAAATCACTCAGTTTTCATTTTACTTTATTGAAGTACAATTGACATACAATATCCTATTAGTTTCTGGTATAGATCATAGTGATTCAGTATTTATATACATTATGAAATGATCACTGTGATAAGTCTAGTTACCATCTGTGACCAAAGTTATTACATTATTAACTATGTTCCCTATGCTGTACATTACATCCCCGTGACATATCTTATAACTGGAAGTTTATACCTCTTAACCTCCTTCACCTGTCCCCCCACCCTCCTGGCCCACAGCCACCAGTTTGTTTCCTGTATCTATGAAGTCTGTTTCTGTTTTGTTTTGTTTGTTCATTTGTTTTGTTTTGTAGATCCCACATTCCATTAAAAATCTCTTGATATGGAAATTAACACACCAAATCATTAATGGTGGCAAGTTTTTTTTTTGTGAGGAAGATCAGCCCTGAGCTAACATCCATGCCAATCCTCCTCTTTTTTTGCTGAGGAAGACTGGCCCGGAGCTAACATCTATTGCTAATCCTCCTCCTTTTTTTTCCCTCCTTTTTCTCCCCAAAGCCCCAGTAGATGGTTGTATGTCATAGTTGCACATCCTTCTAGTTGCTGTATGTGGGACGCGGCCTCAGCATGGCTGGACAAGCGGTGAGTCGGTGCACGCCTGGGATCCGAACCCCGGCCGCCAGTAGTGGAACGCGCGCACTTAACCACTAAGCCACGGGGCCGGCCCCCTTTTTTTTTTGCGAGGAAGATCAGCCCTGAGCTAACATACATGCCAATCCTGCTCTTTTTTGTTGCTGAGGAAGACTGGCCCTGAGCTAACATCCATGCCCATCTTCCTCCATTTTACGTGGGACGCCGCCACAGCATGGCCTGACAAGCAGTGCATCGGGGTGTGCCCGGGATCCGAACCCAGGCCGCCAGCAGCGGAGCGCGTGCACTTAACCGCTACACCATGGGCCGGCCACAAGTTCTAAAAGAAATGAGATTGGGGTAAGGGAGAGAAATTTTACTTTTCATTAGATATATTTCTAAGTTTTACAAGCACGTATTACTTTTATAATTTAACAAATAATTTTTAAAAGGTTCGTACGTAGGGTCGACATTATTTAAATCACTCAAAGGTTTACAAGGGCAAGGAAGAGAGACATTCCTTCTCGTGACACAAACTGATTGCATCCTCATCATAAAGATTCTTTTATTAATTCTTCCCCTATGGATTCCATGTTTTTGAAAAGATTTTTGCCTACCAAACAGCATTTAGATATTCAAATTTTCTGATTCTTTTAAAATCAAAGACGCATATAATTACTCTGGTCAACTGGAAAGGCATAATCTAAGAGTTAGTATGCTCTTCAGTGCATAAAACACATGGACATGCGTGTGGCAGGTGCTAAATAGTATGTTTAAAACACCTTTTCTCAGCCTTACATGATAATAAATCAAACACACCTTGTAAACTTGTCTCCAGTCCTCCTCATACAGAGTGTCCTTTATTTCTACTGAACACAACATCAGATGTCTGAAGGGTAGCATCTTACTAGGAATACAGGTATCGCTGGCTCTCAGACTCCAGGAGGTTCTTGAGTTACAGACAGGGAGAGTTTGCATAGCGAGGGATACTACTTCCACCAAACACCCCTGTCTAGAAAATGTATCCAAATGAATTTGGGTCCTGAGTCTGGATAGCAAAAGTTCGGATACTGAGGGATACCTATATTTGGAAATAAAAATGACTTCAATAAACACATCATCTCCATATCTAGTTCTGCTGAAGCCTTAGAGTTTGATTCCTTAAAAATGAGAATGGAGGAAGTTGACTTTGCAAAAATTACAAAAAACAAAACTGAAAGGAACCATGTTCAGCATATTTTGCAACACAAGACAAAATACAACAGAACTAATTTTGAGTTGAAAGAATGTAACTATCATAGGAACATTTTATATCCTCCACCTAATCATGTCATGAATACTAGGAGAAAAAACAATCTTACAGAGGAGAAAATTTTATTTGGTAGCTTTTTATAATAACAAGATCACTAAACATCTACTATGTACTAGATACCAAGCTAAGTACTTTTACATGTACTTTCTAGTTATATTTTATAATACTTTAACCAGAGCAAGAATCTTTCTCTGCACTTACCTCAATTCAACAGCGTACTAAAATATAAACAAGCACATTGCCTAAGGTGCTTTATTATCAGGGGAAATAAAAGGAGGGAGGGAGCAAAAGAACCAGAAGACAGAAATTATGCTCATTTGACACTTAGGCACAATTTCACACTTCATTAAGAAATGCATAAAAGATTACAATGTGGGTTTGGAGAAAATACAGCCACAGATGAAATAAATTGAAAATAAAGCTAGGCAACAGATGCTGAATGCCCTAACAAGAGGCTGCAGGGGCTAACAGAGAGGGTGCTGGGAGCCCGGGCTTACAGGCCTATTATCAGAGACTTGGGTGGGGGAAGGGGGATGGCACAGTTCCCCCGTCTAGACTGTAAGTTCTTTAAAGGCAAGGATGGTGGTCTTATCACCTCCCTTCTGTTTCATCATCTGTAAAATGTTTCCTAAGGTTCTTCCTGGCTTCAACACTATACCTGAGGTATTACAAGAGCTAATCATAATCACTATAAGATACAGAACTGTAGAGAAGAGAAATCCAAAGGGGTGGGGCAGCAGTCCCTGGACTGTGTAGAGATGCTCTGGACAGAGAAAGGAGGCAAGTCTTTTTAGATAGATCACACCAATCTGCAACACGTCATAAGACAGGGAAGTAGTCATCACCGCTTTCGGCTAAGAAAAGTGAGGCTGGAGGTTAACTAACATTCCAAAGACCATGACTGGAGAAGCCTAAATTCAAACCCAGATTTATGGGATACTGAAGCCTACACAGGGAGCACGCACAAGATGTGCACGAAGGGATTAACACAACAAGAATGATGCTCTGGTTAGAATGGAGTTTGAACAGGGTTTTCCTGTTCAAGGAGCAAGACAGGTTTCAAAGGTGCGAGTGAAGCCAGGTATGGGGGAACAAATGCTAGTACGAGGGGTTCATCATTCACCCAATGAGCCTTAGGAAGCAGGGTCCAAGGCTCATTGGCACGTTTCAGAAAGATGTGGTAGTGGGCTCACCACTGACCAACTTCTTGAAACTCCTGCTGTCCTTCATTTATCTGGTCCCTTTCCACCAGCCCCTTACATGCTGGTGCCTCCCCGAATTCCACCCTTGCCATTTACCTTCCCTTCTTGTTCTCTTCCTGGGCGATGCTATCCAGTCTTGGGCTTCAACCTAAGTGCTTGTGTCTCCAAAGCCTGCAACCCTGCCCCTCAATACGCTCCCAAACTCCAGCCTCTCCTTATCAGCAGCTGATGGCTCCACTTCATTTAAAATCCCACAAGAATGTACATTTCCTCTCCTCTGAAATCAAACTGGTTAGTTCCACCACAAACTTATTCCTTTTTCTTAGTCTCTCTTAATGGTAACAACGTGGCATGAACATGGAGCCAGGAATGGGCTTAAATTGCACCTCTGGCATCAAGACCTGTGTAAGCTTGGGCAAATCAACATTTCCAAGCCCCAGTTTACTCATTTGTGAAAACTGGATGACAATATCTGTATCTGCCTATATAAGGTGGTTATAAGATACCCAATGCTAAAAACCTGTCATTTTTGACTGCCTCTCTTTACGACATCCAACCTGTTAACAAATCTCACCTGTTTAGCACCATTGCCAAACAAGAAAAGGCACTATGGCCTCTTAACTAGTGTCAGGGTCTCAAGACTTTTCTCCTTATGAATCACATTTAATTGTGTGTTTTGAGTGAGTGTGAGAGTGAATATATGTGTGTGTGTGTCTTTGTATTCCCCCGAAAGGTGAAACTACAACACACACACCCCAAATGAGATTCTGGTACAAGTCTGCACCTTCTCCCACCTACCGCTTGCACATCCCCATCTTTAGGCTAAAAATCCCCTTGGGTAATGAGAAATGTTACCAAGGGATGTCTGTTACACACAAAAATGATGTCAAACAGTCAAACAAGTTAGAACCACTGCTCAAACCCCACCTTTCACATTCCCACCAGTTATCCTCAGCAAAGAACTTAGCATCATTTACCTGCTTATAAACCTTGATGGCTTTCCCATCACTTACCCTGATATAAAAGGCCCTTGACATCTACCATAAGGTCCTTGCCTTAAACACAGGGCCAACTTGCTATTCCCAAACAAACCACGTGTTTTTTCACATTCGGTTCTCTCTGCCTAGGTGGACTCATTCCCCCACCTTCTTGTGGAGAAATCCTATTTCTTCTTCAGGGACTGTCCCACGCAAGTCACTGTAGCAGGATATATTTTCCAAGATGGCCACAACACGATGTCCCATCCCACACGTTCTTCTTACAATGTGAGGCCAACACTCCTCTCATCGAGGTATGTTCTATGTCCTTTCCCCTTAAAACCAACTGGACCTGTGACTACGGTAGAAGTGGCGCTATGTCCTTCTAAGGTTAGGTCATAAAAGGCATTAAGGCTTCTGCTTGGCCCTCTTGGGAAGGCCCTCTCCTAACCCAGGTACCTGCTGTGAGAAAGCTAAATAGCTACATAGAGAAGCCATGTGTAGGTGTTCTGGTGAAAACCACAGCTGAGGTTGTGGCTGACAACCACAATCTACCCTTAAGATGACTCCAGTCCCAGCCACCACCTGACTGAAACTGCACGAGACCACAAGTGAAAACTGCCTAGTCCAGCCCAATCAAACCTCAGAATCATGAGAGAGAATAAAATGACCACTGTTTTAAGCTACTAAGTTTTGGGGTGATTTGTGACATAGCAATAATAAATGGAATGTCACCTTCTCAGATGGAGCATTTTCTGAAACCTCACCCTGGGAAGAATTAGTAAGCCTTCTTTGCGACACAAGGCTACTTTGTTTTTACCACTAGTTCAGCAAAGCTCTTTTTATAATTGTTATGGACAGCATTGTGCCCCCCCCCATTCATATGTTGAAGCCCTAACCACAAATGTGACCGTATTTGGAGATAGGGACTATTTAAGGAGGTAATTAAGGTTAAATGAGGCCATAATCCAATAGGACTAGCGTCCGTCCACATAAGAAGAGGAAGAGACACCAGGAGTGCCCAGGCACAGAGGAAAGGCCATGTGTACGCAGTGAGAAGGCGGCCATCTGCAAATCAGGAAGAGAGGACTCACCAGAAACCAACCTTGCCAGCACCTTGATCTTGGACTATTATTAGCCTGCAGAGCTGTGCGAAAGTAAATTTCTGTTGTTTAAGCCACCCAGTGTGTGGTATTCTGTTATGATAGCTCCAGCAGGCTAATACAATAATGAATATATTTGCTTCCAACAAATGAGGCAGGGATCTTGCTTCATCCATCTCTGTATCCTCAGAACCTAGCACAGACCTGACACCATCTAGTTGATGAATATCTGTTGAATGAATGTGCATAAAGCCAGGGAGGATGATTAAGAAGCTGATAAGGAAGGGGGTGAAAGGGCTTGAACTTCAGAGGTAAAATTTGAACAAACAATAAATGTGCTGATATAAAAATATTAGCTAACATTTAGTGTCTGCTTTTTGAAGCCGACACCATGCTACATAACATGGATTATTTTCATTTAATCTTCAGATAACTTTGTTCTACCTTACCCTTCCTGGCGCCAGCACTCACAGAAACAAACTAGTAGAGTACTGGGTAGAAGGCCTGCTTTCGCCTGGTGCTTCTGAGGGGATGACAAGATATTCAAGTCAAACTGAGACAGGGACTAAAGTCAGTGTAAAGGCAATTATTACATTCCCAGAGAGGAACACAAAGACAGGAGGCACTGCGATTTGGGAGAACCCTAACTACACAATGTCACTGAAGTCAGGGGAAGAAAAAGAGTTTCAAGGAGAAGGGCGTGTTTAACGCGTGGAAGTCTGCAGAGAGTTGACAATGAAGACTAAAAAAAAGGCAGTTGAATCTGAAAATCAACAAGTCACGCGTGAGCGCTGAGAGAGGAATTTCAGTAGGGTGGTGGTCTCCAGACTATGGCGTTAAGGAAGAGGAAACGAGGCGTAAAGAAATCAAGTCGGCAGCTAACGGCAGCGACCCCTCCTTCAAGAAGTTCAGAAGCGGGAGAAAGAAGAGCGCCGTCAACGCGGTTAAGCCCAAGCACCTCTGACTGCAAAGGAGGAGTCGCCAGAGGAGCAGGAGGAGCTGAATACGGAATGAAGGAGGCTCGAACATGAAGGTGTCTGGCTGAGCGGGATCTGCAAGAGGCTATTAGGCCGGAGATGACAAAAAGGGGCTGGTCCTACCGAGAGAAGGGCGCAAGGGCCAGCCGACAGGCAAAAGCAGTCTGCTGAGTCTCCGCAGCTAGGAGGAAGTGGGCTCGTCCCAGACGTCCGACGCTTCTCGCCAACGAGGCAGCGTGGACACCAGCGCCCAGGGGCCGCCCGCGGACCTCTGGGGAACCCGCTCCGCGCGGGCTCTACCTCCTAGCTCCCAAGCCGCTCAACCTCCGGCAGGGCGGCACTCCGGAGGCCCGGAGCGCCCGCACGTCCTGGAGAGGCCCAGGGACGCAGGCACTCACCCCACGGCCACGCGGCGCCAGCGCCGGGCCGGCCGCACGATGAGCGCGTCCCAGGCGGCCGCCAGCCGGCCCTCAGGGGAGCCGGGTCCCAGGGGCGCGGGCGCGGGCCCCAGCTGCAGCGAGCTCCACAGCGAGCGCAAGGCCGAGCCCGGCAGCTGCGGCTCCAACAAGAAGATGCAGCCCACTACCAGCGCCAGGAAGCCCGCGTACGCGGAGCCGCGCCACAGCGCCATGGGGACCGAAGCGCTTCAGCCGCACCCTCAGGCTCGTCTCCCGGCCCGCGCCGCTTCCGGGCTCGGCGCGCGCCGACGTCGACACGCGCGCCCCACCACGCCGGCGCGCACGGGCCCCGGGGGGCGGGGCGAGGGACGTGGAGGGGGCGGAGCCCTCTACCTCCGTCCAAATCCCGGCGCTCGGGGGCGCGGTTCCGCGGTCCCAGGGGAGGTTGGACAAAGGCGGAGTGCGGGTCTGGTCGCTGCACCCCTTCCCGGAACTCCAAACATACCCCACAATAGAGGGGCGAGGATACGTTTGTTTTCCTAGTAAAACGAAACGGACGGATTATGAAGCGGGCAAACCTCTTTGAGGTAGTCGGTGTCCCCAGTTGAGCTGCGCCTGCAGTTCCTCGGAGGGGCACGATCACACTCCCCTCTGTAAATCCGTCCCTCCGCCCGTGTGTGTACCCATCGTCATTTACTTAGTCATTTACTAAACTCAGGCTTTTTCAGGCCCCGGGCTCGGCCCTTCCCACAGCAGCGCTGCAGCGACCCCCTGGGGCACGCGTGGCAGGGGGATTCTGTCCCTTTGGAGGGTGGCCTCAGACCTTCAGCCGCTCGAAGCGCATGCCAAGACTGAGGAGAGCCTGCGGTAATCGTCCTCGCTGGATGACCAGATTCAAACGTTAAAATGACCCTTTTGGGGGCGCTGTTCCCTTAACAATCTCAGAAAAATGCACAAATGCACATGATCTTGTGTATAACAGAGAGCTTATGAACTTGCGTTAAGAATTCCTGGTTTCTCCTCTTCTCCCTTGATGATACGATTTAAACCCAGCAGGCCCTGTCTTCCTTGTGACCCTTCTGTGTGTGAGCCTAGTTTGAGAGCCAGTGAAGCTAGGCTTGCTGCCAGCTCCCTCTGCAGCCACCACACCCGGCCTGGTCTTGTTTCCTGGCCTGTTTCCGTTTTTCGAGTTCTGCCGGCTCCTGACCTTGGCTCTGTGTCGGATTTTCCACTCTGACCCTGACCTTTGGACTTGGCAGTGGATCTTTATTTCCCTAGCTTTGATCTTGGGCATTAAGCTTTATTCCCCCCAGCTCCACCTCAATAGCATTTCTCCATCCTGGTCATCTACCCTCCCCAAGGTAACCCCGCCCGGCCCACCTGACCATAGCATCCCTTTCAAAGGAGACGCTCAAACAGGAAGAGATTTGGGCTACCAGAGAAAAGAAAGAAGCCAAGGAGCCAATGAGATCTGTGTGGGGCCATGAAGCTGTCTTCCCTAGAGTTGCCTGTCCCTTCTTTCTCCTCAGGGAGACATGTCAGTCGGTTCCCAGAGAAACTATTCCCTCTCATGGCCCCCAGTTGGCAGGTTTCCCCAGAAGCGACTGAACCAGCACCTAATTCAAAAGCAGCAACAGGGCTGATCTTCCTCACACACACACACACAAAAAGCAGCAAATCTACTGGCTGGCCAGAGACCATTTCTCTCTACTGAAAATTTGAACCAAGAGTCAAGAGTCTGTAGCTGGTTGGTTTTGGTTCTGGACCTGCGAGGTCACATAAGATTGAAGGTAAAATAGAGCCAGTTAAGTATATTACCAAGGTGAAGTTTTCGGGGGAGCAGAGGAAGCTGAACTGTGGGAAGGCCATGGAGCAGATAGGTCTAGAGGAGCAGGGAAGTGCTCTACACCAAAGTGATGTGGCAAGAAAGCCTCCCGGGGCCTCCCTTCTGACTCCCAGGAGAGCTGCTGAACTACTAGCACTTGGCACCTAATTCTTCTGCTTCTTTCTGGACTTGCCAGAACTTTTTCTTGCTCCAGTTTTATTGAGATATAATCGACATATAACATTGTATAAGTTTAAGATGTACAACATGATGATTTGTTATATGTGTATATTGTGCAATGGTTACTACAATAAGTTTAGTTAACATGTATTGCCTCGCATAGTTACAGTTTTTTTTCTTGTAATGAGAACTCAAGATCTACTCTCTTAGCAACTTTCAAATATATGATGGGGTTCAGGGCAGGCTGCTCCAAGTTGTGCCACTCTTGTATGCAGATTATTTCGAGCTGAAGACAATAAAGGCTCAGAAGACTCTGAAAGAAACTTTGACCTCTCCCCCCACTAACTGCCTAAAAGGATTTAAGATAGAAGGCCTGTCCCCATGACAGGCCATCACCATAGTTAACTCTGGGTATGGATAGACTGGGAGGGTCCTTGCTAAGCCCATTCTTATCAAAGTTCTGTTTACCAAACATTTACATTTTTAAGGGAAATCTCCATTTGTAAAGGTATCTCCCTGTCTGTACGTGGGGGATGGGGTATGGTGGGGGGGGGAGGGAGGATGACCTTATCTCTAGCAACTCATGTCAGTGTGGAAGGCAAGGACTTAAATCTGCATACTCTTGTTTCCTGTGCTTTCTGGTAATCTCCCATAGCTGCCTCCCCCACCCCCAACATCCTCCTTTGTCTTTAGCTGAAGAGGGTATTTAAGGTGATAACCTCCGCCATTTTGTCGAGTTACCCAGTTTCCTGGGTCTCTCCCATGTATACATGTTATAAAGCTTTGTTTGATTTTCTCCTGCTGTTCGATCTCATGTCAATTTAATTTGTAGCCCAGCCAGAAAGGACCCAGAGTGGGTAGAGGACAGTCTTCCTCTCCTACATATACAATACTAGAACTTTTGGTTTAGTTATGGACACGAAGCAATGGCAGCTTGAACAAAATGGAAGTTCATTTCTCATGTGAAAGTCCAAATGGGGTGCTGGGACTTTGTGGGCTGTGGTCACAAGCATGGTCCCATCTGATCATTATAGAGGCTGCTCTGGGGTTCCTGCTGGTTGGTCACTCAGTGTGGGTTTGAGATGTGGGTGGTGGTGGGGAGAGACAAGGAGCTGAGAGCGACTTCTATTCCATCTGAGAGCTAAAGAGGCAGGAGCTGCAGAAAGTGAAGGACACCAGTGACAGTTGCCAGTCCTGGCAGAGCTGGATGTGGCTTCTGGTCACAGACATAATCACAGTGGCCTTACTTCCTTCTCACTCCTTACCAAGGGCTCGGGGTCAGGCATTCAGCTCTCTTGAGATAGAGTACTACAGTCCCTCTTGAAATATTTCCTTAATGAAAAATAGTCATTTCAGATTCTGATTATCTATATGTTTAGCAAGTTGGGAATGCTTTCCAAGCCAATTGTTTTTCTAGAAGTTAGATGTCTGGGGGCAGTTGTGGCTCCATTACCTAAGCTGAACAAAGAGAAAAGGACTGAGTGGGTCTCAAGACACCCCCTCCTCCACCCAGATTGCTTCCAGATGTGGCCCTTGCTATTGGTTCTCTTTCCTAGGACCGTGAAATGAAAGAAAAAAGCAATTCGGTTCCAGAAAATTCAGAGGCAAACAGAGGCTCCAGGTGTCCCACCCAAGACCCTGATATGGAAGGCCAAGGAGCAGATCCCATGTTTATACAAGGAATTAGCAGAGGCCTGTCAGTTCCCAAATTAGCCTAAGGCTTTGGCTTTGACATAAACACCAGTCAACACCACCCGTGTGATGTGAAGGGTTTTAAGGAATGAGTTTGTGCCTGCGTTGGAGTACAAACTAAGGTGGGCCCAAATGGTCCTTATGAAAGGTGGGCTAGAAAATTTTCCCGCAGCTCCAGGCCTCTCGGGTTTCGTCCAAGCTGCTCTCTGAAGTCCACACTGTGTTAGGGCCTTTGCTGATGCCAGGGACACAGCCCACCACAGGCCACACTCAAGGGCCAGAGTCAGAGCACAGCTTTGAAGGTTATAGAAAACTCCAAGGAGACAAAAGAGAAGGAATAAAGAATCCCAGCATCCAAAAAGAGAAAGCTCTGTGTCTGCAGCCACAGCCCTGGGCAATCGGACATCCTCCTCCCTAACCTGCCATCAGGAGGGCACTAGAAGAGCTAGGAGGATGGATTGCCAAATGGGGACAGGCAGAGGTGTTGAAGGCACAGGAGCCAGATGACAAGAACATCAGCAGCAAAGCAATGAGGAGGGCCCCATAGTTCCTTGACAGTAATAGGATTTCCTACACAGATTGGGAACAGGGACCTTCTTAGCTTGTGGGGATGTAACAGTGTGGTGGCCCTGGATTTCCACTTTGGGATTAACTGCTTTGGACTAGAAGAAAGTGCTAAGTGTGGGAAAGTGGGAGGGGCTGAGCTATCTGGGCTTCTGTCTGGCCGGGGCCTATGAGCTTCATAGGGCAAATGAGTAGGGGGACAAGATGAAGCATGAGCCTGTCCCGGAGTGCTTTCTCGGATGTCTCAGGCTTCCTGGAACACTGTTAGCACAGTGCCTGCTGTAGCCCTTCCTCACTCATGGGTCCTCCCGCTCTGCACTCCGCTGCAGGCTGTGTAAACCAGCCCTGCTGTAGATCATGTAGCGTATGCTATAGTCATCTGATTTGGGTTCTGTAATACTTGCAATGTACATTTGGAAGGAAATGGAAAGTTTGCCTTCTAACTGCATTTCCTTCTTGATTCAAGAGCCTTAACAGTTCTAGAACCTCTTAGCCAAGAGTTGTTTTCCAAACTAAAATAAAGGAAAATATAAATAAAAGGAAGCAAAAACATCCAAATGATCTGGCATAGCTGCACTGCTCTAGAGTTGTCAAAGGCCCAGGCTTGTTCTTTCTTTTGCTCTGCCATTCCTAGGGTGGCAGGGGCTACGTCATGACAAAATCAGGGTTCTTAAAGAAAGGCGAGGTGGTTGTTATAAGGCAATCAACAGTTTCTACTTAAATGGAAAGAATGCAGGATTTGATGCCTGGTTTTATTTGTTTATTTTTTGTGAGGAAGATCAGCCCTGAGCTAACACCCATGCCTTTTTCTCCCCAAAGCTCTAGTAGATAGTTGTATGTCATAGTTGCACATCCTTCTAGTTGCTGTATGTGGGACGCGGCCTCAGCATGGCCGGACAAGCGGTCCGTCAGTGTGCGCCAGGGATCCAAACCCGGGCCTCCAGTAGCGCAGCGCGTGTGCTTAACCACTAAGCCACGGGGCCGGCCCCAAGGTGCCTGGTTTTAAAACTCCACTTCCCCCATCCACCATCTGTGCGACCTCAGGCAAG